AAAAAAAAAAAAACACCAGGTAAGGACACAGCTAAGGAGAGAAAAATCCATCCAAGAAGGGGAGAGTAATTCGTTTGACCCAGGCTCTTCCAATAAATATCAGCGGCCGTGATACAACGTCGCGTGAGGACTGTTATTCTGTATGCATTTTCTAGCTGCGGAACAATAACGAAATATAACATTTTTCATATATTTCCATGAGGTAAAAGGTTTTCATAAAAATACATTTTGCGATGGCTCTCATGGCTAGCATATCTTGCATGCCTTGTCGGCTCGCCCTTTAAAACGACCCTGTGGGCACCTGAGGCACTGGGCGAGAGAGGATGGGTAAATGGTCTCTTGGCACTGGTTCAGTGTTGGCTGATGGATCTTGAATGTAAGTGCCTTTCACTTATTTTTTATTATTATTATAATTATTATTATTATTATTATTATTATTATTATCACTATTATTTCAGACGCGAAATCGATATTTTGTGTTCTTGCTAAGTACCTGTTTCTTCTCGAGTAGCTTCAAAAGCACACTCATGGACGCTAGGCGTAAACCATAACTGAATGCAAGCCCCGAAACGAACAAGGAGAGAAAAGCTTCGAGTTTCTCTGCACGTGCATTCCGCACGCATCATCTTGTTGAAAAATAAAACCACGTAGTTGTGGGCGCATATGCATTCTACCGCATCATCTTGATGAATGTTAGTGCCGTGTACAGATTTGTCTCTTTTTCGTAATTATTTTAAACGCAAAATTGATGTTACTCTTGTAACTTACCTGTTTCTTGTCGAGTACCTTCAAAAGCATCCATCAAGGACGGCAGGAGTAAACCATAACTGAAAGCAATCCCCGAAACCACAACAACGGATAACAGAGATGCCGCACAAACAAGCCACGATCGACAGCTATCTGGATGCCATCCGGAATTGTTCTCCAGCGTTTTCCATGGGCCCATATGGATCTGTGAATTATGTCTTGTTTTACATTTCGACATCTTTGTATAGTGTACAGCGGTAGCTATAGAACACCAATTAAATCAGTGTAATCAATAATGCCATACTTATTACACTTTTCGTCTCAAAACCAACCAATCCCAACAGGGAGAGCTGACCTCGTGTAATTTTCAGTTCCTCAATCCGCCAAGGTGTCAAGGTCAAGGTCATAGGTCCATAGGTTTTCGAGACACCCGATATTTTCCATTATTAAACCATTTTACCATATTAGGATAATGGAACGCAAAAACTGTGCCATGTTGTAAAACAAGGCAAATCAGACGTCGTGAATCATGTCACGGTCCAATTTTTAGAAACTTAGGCTAAACATGATTGGCATACATGACAATACTCTAATTGGTGCAAGCATACCTTATGCTGTGATCTGACAGGTGCGAGATACATACTCTACGCAGCGATCTGATTGGTGCGAGATACATACCCTAACGCGGCGATCTGATTGGTGTGAGATACCTACCCTTATATGCTGCGATCTGATTGGTACGAGTAACATACCACTCGATACGCTAAAAAAGAATTACTTTTAACCAAAAAAAACAATAAATAAAAAAGAAAACTAAAAACACTAGAAAATTAAATACATTCATCTTGGGTTGAAGAATCCTAAATGAGCAAATAAACGATATTTTGCGCAGAATCAATATATTATTTTTTCTGATGATTACTTGACGGCCATTTTGAAAATGTTCCAATCCAGGACACGTGATGTGATACGTCATACGTGTGTATAGTGAAAGGGTCACGATAATACCTGAAACAACATCGTCCTCGCTTTCCAGCTGCTGCCGCAATTTACGAGCGGAAAAAAAGGATTTGTTCTGTTATCAGCCCACATTAAGAGAATATGAAATTCGAAATGGGATATAATTTCTCCCAAAAGGTGGAATAATCGAAACGCGACAGATCGACATATTGTCAGAGCTACGGGTAAACTACACGCCATACAGAACAACTAATAAAAACATTTTTCCTCTCAGCCAATATCGAACCCAATATTTAAAGAAGTATTTTTTAGTTCAAGCCGAAAAGGATTTAACGAAAGATTTTATACGGTGTATATCACTTTGATCTCAGGCCCATCGATTCCGGAGTAAGCGTGACTTAGGTGCAAAGCGTTGTCGCGTATTTTTGGAGATCTTCATCTGGTTTCTTGAACGAAACTCTTCCTCCAGATTGTGGCAATTTATAAGATTTATCTTTTTTAATGTTTTTTTTTCTAACGGAGGCTAGTGAGAAGTACAAAGGCAGATTTCTCGTTGTTATAACTTTTCCGATGCGTTTCGTCTCTAGCTGAGACTTCTTCTGGGAATGATTACAGCTAATATTGAAAAGCATACGTACGCATTTGTGTGCCTAAGTTTAACTTGCTACGGAAGTGAACATTAACTGAAACATGCTGTAAACGGACGTCACAAGAAACGCCTTGCGTGAGCGCCACACTCGAGCGTTGTTCGCCCAACATTAATATAACTGTAAAATAGTTATTGCAGCTTTGAACCGTAATTTACATTTTCGTTCGAAATTCATAGCGACGATTCAATATTCGTGAGACACAAAATAGATTGTATGATGACTTACATTCGAAAGTGCTGAAAATCAATTGTGAAGAGTAAAGACGAATCCCAGGAAATAATTCTTGATTCGCAGCGTCTCGCGAAGAAGTTTCCTCAAGATCCTTACGTAGCCCGTATGATCCACATTCATTGTCGTTACGTAAAATAGCGGTTTGTATGATTCTCAGGAAGCAGTGATATTTCCGGTTTACTTACTGGGCACACGTGCACTCCGCACGTGCATTCATCACGAATCATCTAGTTGAAATGGGTGCATGCGCACTCCGAACATATCACCTTCCTGAAATTCTACTCTCCCGGAAATCGCGCGATTGATGACAGTTTCTCCGGTTTCGCCGCATTGTTTACTCTTCTGTCAAGCAGTTCACAATTAATCGCCAAACGGGTTGGAAATTAACCATTCCAGCCCTAAAATCGCAAATTAGGAGCAGAAAACAATCATAACACTGACCATCGTGTTTGAGGTAAAAATGTAAATTTTGATTTCCCGTTACGAAGCCATAACATCTCCACATCACGAAAGAAATGTTAATGTTTTGATGTACTTTGGCTGACCTATGTTATTGATATTACGTATTAAAATTCCTGATAGGTATCTACCAACCTTCCGAATCTAATAGGTTATAGTTTTCTAAGAGAGGTAAATGTTGGTGAGTACAACGCTCAAGCGCCATAAAGAGTATTGAGAGTTCAAACAAACAAAACCAAAAACTGATTGAATTTACATGTAAGATAAAGATCTGAAGCGTCTCGCGAAGAAGTCACGAAAGCCTTATAATTCACAGTCATTGTTGTTACGTAATATAGCGAATCGTATTTTTCAAGGGAAATACACCTACCTTGCGAGACCAAGATGTCACGGTAGTTATATACTTATAGATATATTTACGATAGTTTGATTGGGAACGTTCCGTGTGCTCTTTGAATAAAAAAAGAAAGAAATCCATCGCACTACTGGTAATTTAGCCAATTGAAAAAAAATTGACCGGCTGCTACTGAGACTCGAAAAGACAACCTCAAAGAGATTTTCGACCGCTTTATGAGCTAAACATTTTCTCGTTAAAATTTCCCATGACATAATAAAATTAATGGGTTGTTACACATCTAAACGTTTCTGTTATAGAGACACTAGTAGAAACGGAAGGAACGCAACGATACCCAATTGACTGTGAGCAAATCCCTGCACGTTCATTCCGCACGATAAAATCATGTAGCCATAGGCACACGTGCACTCCACACGTGCATTCTGTTTTGTAAAACCATATAGCAACGGGTGCACTTGCACCCCGCCCTTGGATTACATTTCGGTAAGGTAGTTACTACAATTTTTACGACCACAGGCAGCCCAAGTGGACTTCGTTAAGGGTCATTATTAATAATTTCTAGTATGCTGAATATATGTATTGACCGAAAAACATTTAAAAAACTGAGTAGCAGTTTACTCAATATAAAAGTTTCGAGTAACGAGCGTTCTCAACTAAGTTGAAGTTGCACAAAACCAACGAAGAATAAAATAAACTTTATCATCTACGCTCCCCTGTTTTTTACTGATGGCTGATAACGAAAATCTGTCTCAATGGCCAGTATAAAGCGATAAAATGACGAATCAGTATAATGCAAGAAAGCAACAACATACACTCAAGTCTTTAAAGGATGCGCAAGGATTGAAAAACGCTGCACGCCCGCAATTCTTTGTGATTCACAAGGATACAAAACAATTTGCCGTTTACATCATGGAAGACTGGACAAGAGATCCTGTGTTATAGATAAACTTACTCACCCTCAGCTCTACGTTCTATTCACGATTTCCACTACATTTTACCCAATGAATCTTATTTTTAGAAGACAATGAGGAAGCAACTAATATTATTTCAAAGCTTATTTATTTAAAGCAACCGATCAAAACGTAGGAAAACTAAAGACAAAAAAAATAGCTTTTCTACAATACAGTTATTTTTTCAGCGACCGTAAGTTCTTCCACTTCTGATGGAACGATGCAGGTGTCAATTTCTTCGGATTGTTGATTTACACAAGCCATAAGTGATGTGATGGAGGCCCCTACTATCAGCACCACGCCCGCAGTATAAAATGGGATAGTGTAAGAGCCAAGCATGTCAGCCATAAGACCTATTAGAAAAACGTCATTCCATAAGTACACTAGATAAAAATGAGGGGATTGTTTGTGGTGGGAGTTAAATAGAGACAATCTCCAATCCATGACCTGTAATTGCAACATTAAATTCAACTTACCGACTAAAGGAGGTCCAACACTAGCGCTAATCCCTACAAAAAGCATTATACAACCCCACGCACGGTTCACATTGTGATGTCCCACACATTCCAATACAAGCAGAGACTGTTGCCCCGACATCGCTCCATCCATGAGTGCAAATCCCATTAATGGTATGAGTATAGAAATAAACGACCTTGCTGCAGGAATGCAAAGGACACATAGTCCACTGATGGTCATGCCCCCCTGATAAAGATAGAATCTATTGAAGTATGGCAAGTCTCCCAATTTGCAGAAAAGATGGCGACTGATAAAGGAAGCTACAGCCATGTAAGTGTATAATAAGGAGACATCTTTTTCGGACATATGGAGTTCTTCTACGCTGTGTTTTGCCTGGAAATATAAGATGTAAAAGTCTCATCAAAATTAACTGTCGCGGTTTATGATTTGCTTACCGCCCACCAGCTTGCCAATCTGCACGTCAGTTCCCCTATCTCGCTGCTTACCTACCCCGCCTTTCTCTCTTTATAAGAGTCGTTTGTCCGTCTGTCCGTCTGTCTGACCGTCTGACCGTCTGTCCGTCTTTCTGTCCATCTGCCTTTTTCCTTGTCTTACAAAACCTCTAGAAACTCGGAAGCAAATCTTCTCCGGCCTTCTCTTTCTCGTTCGTTCTACCACTAAATCTCTCTTTCCACGGGGTTACTCTTCTGCATGTCTATCTTTCTGTCTTCTCTTTGTTTATGTTCTGTTTATGCGACAAGCTTTTCTGACGTCACAAACTTCCACATCTCTACAACTTTCTCAATTCTCTGTCTACCATTGCGAGACGACGTCTCTTGGTTAGCTTGGATTATAATTATGCAATAAGTGGCAATTAGAAGTATAGTTCTCCGTTTACCAAACAAAAAAATAAGATTGATATATACTTACTATGTGTATAGTGGGAACAAAATAACTAAAGTGAACGATAACAAATGAAGAAAACATAATCAGAAAATGACGATTTCTGAGCAGAGATGATGTTTTTGGTTCTTCACGTTTTATTCCATGAGAATTGATGTCACTGTTGTCCTCCTTAAATGTCTTAAGTGTCACGAACACAGTGGCACACAATCCGCACATAAAGAACAAGATGGCGTAACCTATCATTGCCCCCGGCCATCCAAACGTGCTTAATAACAGTCGAGTGATTTGGGAGAAGACAAACATGCCAATAGCTGGCCCTGAAGCCACAATACCGACAGCTACTGAACGCCATTTCACGAAATGCTGCAGGATCACCAAAACAGCAGTATTGAAAATCAATCCATGCCCAATACCAGACATTAAACC